CCCCGTGCCTGCGTGGGTTTTCTCCGGGTACTCCGGTTTCCTCCCACATTCCAAAAACATGCGTGGAAGGTAATGATCATGAAACACTCTAAATTGTCCCGATGTGTGAGTGTGAGCGCAGATGGTTGTTTGTTTGCCCTGCGATTGGCTGGCAACCAGTTCAGGAAGTATCGCACATACTGCCCGAAGAAGGCCGGGATAGGTTCCAGCACGCCCACGACCCTCATGAGGACAAGCAGATTTGGAAATGGATGGATATTATTATTATTAATTATTATTATTATTATTAACGAGAGTCTTACAACTCTTGTGACTCACCACTGTTAAATAGTGTGTGAGAAATCATGTGTTCTGTCATGTCAATTACATCACTGAACACCACATGACCATTAACTTGCTGGAGGCTGTCCTCATGTGGTGTGTACTAATGAGAACTTAAAGGGTAATTGTACACTATTCATAGATAGATCAATGATTCCCAAGCAGGGTGCTGTGAGAGATCATCAGGGATGCCACTGCAAATTGACACCGTTCGTGTAGGGTGAATTGAATGTTGATGGGATCCCACAAACTGAGACAAAAATCCGTCCCAAAACCTTTCCAAGAACAGGCAACCGTCTCGACTGTTGGACAAATGTGCTTTTAGAAACGTTTTCTACTAATCACACAACCTTTTATACGAAACCCGACTAAAAACTCATCACTCAAGAGTTCTTCATGTTTCATCTTCACTGAGTTTATGTTGGTATTATTGCCCTGTGATCTGGAGTGGTGCTATGAAGCCGAATGAAATCCCTTTAACGGTCATTTCAGGGCAGTGTGGAACCAACACCTTGCCATCCGGGCAGCTACCAGCTGAGAAAGGGCCGGGGAAGCTGTGAGAATTGCTCTCCTGGTTTCTACTGCCAAGGTCAAGGTTAGGTTAAAGGGAGTTAGCAGGCACTTTTCCCATCATCTAAATGGAAAAAGGCCTTATGTTTCATTTACGTGCAAATCAGGAACTTCCTCTGCACTTCTCTGCGAGAGAGGTTTTTACTGTCCGAGTGAATCAGCAACTCCACGCCCCTGCCCGGCGGGCTCCTATGGAAATCTGACAGGCTTGATTGAAGCACGGCAGTGCTCTTTGTGCGACCCTGGAATGTACTGCCGAGGATCAGGTGCACTGAGTCTACAGACTGACACTTCTGCCGGACCTTTGTTGATATATGATTCGTAAAAGCAATGCATTAATAATATATTCACTGTTTTTTTCTGTAGGGAGGTCTTTTCCAAGTGGCTCGTGCGCTGCAGGGTTTGTTTGTGTTGGGGGAGCCTCTGAACCATCCCCAGTGGACAACGTGACTGGCTTTCCGTGCCCTCATGGTTTCTTCTGCTCTGCTGGGACTTTGGTACCACAGCCATGCCCCAAAGGAACATTCAGGTTCATAATTTGCAGTGCTACTTTATTAGCATTCAATATTTGCAAGGCTTTCAGGCTCATATATAACATCTGTCTGCTCGTAATTTTAATGAACCACAGGCGCATCTGAATAAATTAGACTCTCATGGAAAAGTTAATTTATTTCAGTAGTTCGTTTCAAAAAATGAAACCCATATATTAAACAAATTCAATCAAAATACAGCAGTGTACTTTTCAGAAGGCCAATGCCGACCTCACCAATCTGGGCTTTTCGTGAGCTGTAATAAATCATTAAAATTCATAACAAAATATAAAATATATCTACTTTCTTTGATTCATACTAAAATGAAAAATTCGATGAGGTTAATAGACAAGATTCTAGAAGTGAGCGTAAACTTTCCAAAGACAGTTTGCCGGGTAGCATCGAATATATTTTAAATCCTTGAATAAGCCACATTTTGTGTTTTCTTCTCTCTGCCGTGTAAATTAACATGGCAGTGACCAGAGTGGGTTGACAGATGAATCGCAGTGTCGTAGTTGCAGTCCAGGCTTCTACTGCTCAGAGACAGGCCTCTCGGCTGTGTCTGGACCCTGCCTAGCTGGTATCAACAACAGATTCCTTCATTAGGAATGTACATTTCACATCATATGACGGCAGTGCTGAAGAAAACGTTTGATAAACACGCTTTTCCCCAGGGTTTTACTGTCTCGAGGGATCACAAAAGGCTGCACCAATATCAAGTGTATCTGGAGGCGTTTGTCCAGCAGGCCACTACTGTCCAGAAGGCAGTACTGTCCCCTCACCCTGCCCAACAGGCTCCTTCCGAAATGAGACCGGGGGAAAAGGCAAAGACGACTGCAAGCCTTGCCTTCCTGGTAATTACATAACTTGATATGTTTGGAATGTTGCTTTCCTCCACATTAATTTACCAGCTTCCCACACGTCTCTCGACAGGTTTCTACCAAGATTTCTCAGGCCAGACTGAGTGTAGACGCTGTCCTCCCGGATTCCACTGTGAGACTCTCAGGCTAAGCTCAACCAGGGGGAGTTCTTCTGGACTATCCAGTCCTTTGCCCTGCCCTGTTGGTTTCTTTTGTCCCAGGGAAAGTCCAGATGGAAGGCCTGTTCCCTGCCCCAAAGGCACATATGGGCCCAGTCAGGGTCTCACCTCTGAAGGTAAACTTTCTTTCGAATGACAGATGGGCAAACGTAATCTTAACTAGCTTTATAATTTAGGGTTTGCTCACGTTGGGCTCAAGCCTCCTATGTCATAATTTGAGACATTTGAATTATTTTCATGAATTTATACTACCGGGTATTAGTGTGGTGTGGTTGTTCTTTTTTTCAGTGGTTACCGCAATCCGCTTAATCATTGATAATCGTGCCATATTGTTTTGGTTCCATGTGGTGTGTGTGGCGCAGAGAAAAACATAAAGGGTTGCAGTGAGTTGATGATGTGTGCGAGGGTTGTCGATGTGCGGTTGGCTTCTGACTGCGACTAAATCTCAGTTGCTTGTGTTTACAGGTGAGTGCTTAGCCTGTCCTGCAGGTCTGTTCTGTGGATCTGAAGGTTTAGCGGAACCCTCTGGATGGTGCCTGGATGGATTTCTTTGCCTGATTGGAGCCATGCTCCCAAACCCCACTGACAACACGACTGGGTCTCTTTGTCCACCTGGCGGGTTTTGCCAAAAGGGGCTTAAAGCGGGTACAGAACACTGAAAAACTTTGAATTTCTTGTCATGCATTCCTATTTGAAAATTAATACATGGCTCACATTGCGCTGTAGGAAACTGTTGGTCTGGATTTTATTGTGGCTGGGGTTCGAGCAAGGCAGATCAGACTCTGTGTCCGGCTGGTTACTTTTGCCCTCGTGGAACACCAGACCCCATTCCCTGTCCCGCAGGAACATTTAGCTCTATTTCAGGCAACTCACACCTGAGCAACTGTACTCAATGTACTGCTGGATACTACTGTGAAGGTAGGAAAGATAGGGGATTGTCCATTTTTTTTTCCTTTGGTAAAATGATGCCAACAGCGGGATACACGATACTCACTATGTGGATAGAAGTCATGGGGCACACCTTTGAAACACTACCATACTGAGAAACAATTGTTGCCAATACAGCGGGACATCCAAAGTCAAGCACACTCCATTCACATGGGAAATAATGTAAAGCGTTTGTAAACATTTGTTCCACACTCAAACTGTTGCCACCGTAAAGCCATCTGCATTAATTGTACAACAAGGTGTGCATTTCTCCAGTAAAAGACGATTCAATACTGTACATTTCTCGATACATGGGCAGTAATATGATTCAAGCACTGTTCAATTTTCAAAGTAGAATGATTTGTTTTGGTTCGATTCCGTGGGATTACGATCTGATTCATTATGGTACGGCTCAGTTCGAGAGGATGTGAGGCAATGAGCTTCTTGTTGTCATTTTGCATAATGAACAGACACTGACTTTTACAGGATGGGTACCACCCATCCTGTGAAAGGAGAAATCCCAGCAAAGGGGAAATCCCAGTTGTTTGACATTTTCAGTTTCATCGGAATAATGACCAGGTGTTCTTTTCATACTTTAGTCCATATACAGTAGTGTATTCTCAGAAACAAGGAAAAAAAAATACCTGTTATCGTCTCTCATGTTGATGCCACTCCATGCAGAAGACATCTTTAGTACTTCAGACACAAAGATTAGACAGTATTTTTTTAAATTAAGCCTCTCTTCTTCTTAACTGACAGTGCATTTGACTGTGACACAATGACACAGTGTAAAGTTTTCCAAATTAGGTGGCCTTATCTATTCAAAGACGTCAGTTAATCAAGTGTCATCAGCCCCCATTGTATATTATTTTCTGTGCTTTGTGTGACTTCAGTTGAAGGGACTGTGCAGCCCAAACTGTGTCCCGCTGGCTATTACTGTCCGCCAGGAATGACACAAGGAATGGGCTTACCCTGTCCAATCGGTACCGTTCAGAACCAGTTTGGAGCTTCAAGCCTTGACGCTTGCCTTCCCTGCCCTGCTGGTAATTGTCTGGTTAATAATACTTGTACAGCATCAGGGAGGTTCTAAGATTATTACGTGATTATTTCTGGAGTTGGAGTTTGTCGCAGTCATATTAAAGCTGTTCCAAACTCCGTGGTGCTTTTAGATAAATTTAATTTGTTCTGCGACCCTGCTCATAACTCAAAAAATCTCAAGTCATCTTTCCTCATCCAAAGGAATGAAAATGCCATTAATCCATTCCAGCACTCCGCACACCTCCCCCCCAACAAAAACACTCTTTTCAATGTCTTTTAAGAAAAAAAATGCTCTCTAAACCACCAAAATGAAAATGCTTCAATTCAATAATAAAGAATATATGCCTGTAAGTATCGTTATATTATCTGTTTACATGTGTTGCTTCACGATGAGTGTTCAAATATCTTGCTCAAATGGATATAACGCCGCAACGCCAATGTCATTAGGTAGCCCATTGATGGTGTTTTGCGTTAGCATTAAGCTCAACAGACTTTCCTAAAACAAAGCTATGTGGATGTTTTAAAGTAAACCATTGTCGTTTCCGTTTATGATGACGATGATTAAAAGACTTTGTCGACAACCGCTACACACAGCAATAAAACATACACAACCCTGTTGGTTACAATATCTTAAACATATGTTACTCTGCAATCAGCTTGTGATAAACTTTATAATAAGTTTGAACTTTTCTACAAAACATCTGGCGTAATCGGGCCGCTAGCGAGCTAAAAGCTTGAGTTAGTTGTGCTATCGTCAATTTAAGGCAAGTCAAGGTAGGAGTGTACAGTATACTGCTTACCTTATTTTAAAATTCCGTTTCCGTTGATCTCATTAGATTGCATTCGTCTACTTTTGTTATCCAATAACAACTTGCTGCTCTTTTTCTTAGGAATGTTTTGTTCCCAGCCTGGTCTTTCCCGTCCCACAGGATTGTGTGAGGCTGGATATTATTGTCCAAGTGTATCTACCATCAATCTCTCTTCTGAATATCAGGTGTTGTTGTTGTTCTTATTGTTCTTGTTGTTTTTTTTTTAATATATAAAATATAACATGGTGTTCCAATGAGTTATATCTCCTTGCGCTAACTCCAATATAATTCTTGATAGTTGCGTCCCCTTTCATTAAATATGAAAATCTGTGTCCTCAGGGGAAAAAAAAATACCCACATCCAATCTCCAGATATTATTTCCACTTTTCTCAGTGCTGACCCCTTCAATTTTATTATAAAGTTATTACCTTTCCTCCAATCACACAGTCAAATGAAATGTCAGATTTGTTTACAACACATGAACAAATAACAGTATTTATAGAAAATTGGATTTTCTTTTTCTGTTTGTACAACCGAGTATTCAAATCGAATTATGACTTCGGTTTGACAAGAAATGTCAATTTCACAAGATGATTATTAGAATACATCCATCATCAGGCATTTTCAGGAAGTGATGCTGGCAGTGCATATTATTCTATATAAGCACAGCCATTCTGTGCGCTACAGTACATCAATGCATGCTAAATTGCTTTTGCTCTTCTTCAGAATAATTCTACCAGGAGCCATCTTTGTCCTCCTGGTTACTATTGCCCCGCTGGAACGAAAAATCCAATTCCGTGCCCTGCAGGCTCTCTATCCATCTCCCGAGGTCTAAAGGTCATTGATGACTGCCCTCCTTGCCCCCCTGGACAGTTTTGTGATAGACCTGCAAGTACACAGCTCTCTGATGCTCTCCCATGTCATGCCGGGTAAACATCTCTTAAATGCTCTCTTTTCTGCCAGCTTTGTCACTTGGGGATGAATGTTGACATATTTTTTGTCTTCCTATATAATTTGGAGAGATTATTCAGAATGTTTTTCTCACCTCTATTTAACCTTAAAGGAGAGGAAATTGTTTTGCTCTTTTCTATTCCCTTCAAAAAGATTGCAAATGCAAATGTCCATGCCAAGTGCTCTCAGTTGGCCCTTTAACCTGAAATAATGTGACTACCTGACATAAAAGTACAATTACATACAAATGAGGGAACCAAAGCAAATTTCTGCAGAAAGGTGCTCTATAGAAGATAGACCGAAAAAAAAAAAATCATGGCACCCCGCCCCCCCAAAAAAAAACAACGGTTTAAAATGATAGTATTCAAAGTATACAGTATTAATTGTATTCAAGAAAACACCATTACATCCAAAAGCTAGGGTACCATAAATGGATGCTCCGATGTCTTGCAGGATTGTAACAGATTTAGTCCCGCAAATGTTGAATCGATGCAACTGCACTCTTCTTCGCTATTGAAGATGTATGACCTTTTTTCCAAACCTCTTTTTTGTTCCCCCATTTATGTCAGTCGTGCGTGTGTGCCCTGCGGGTGGTCACATGGGGATGTTAAAATTGTTTTTATTGCTTGGTGGGGAAATGGCCTGCCGTGGCCACTTAACTTATAGCATGGAGTGAGACAATCTTTGAGGAAGATGTCGGGACGTTACTGTAAACTGACGATAAGTGATGGAGTAAATCAGGGGTGCCCAAGTCTGGTCTTCGGGAGCCCCCATCCACTCTATGTTGGATGTCTCCTCCCTCCAACACACGTGATTCAAATGATCAGGATCGTTATAAGGCTCCTGCAAAGCTGCGATTCAGTCATAGGCGCTCAAGGCCGATGCCTCTCGCATGATATTGATTTTATACATCAGTTCTACAAGTGTCAAGTATTAATTAATGAATTTGTTTGTTTATTTATTCAGCTCCACCAACACAAAGAGCAGCAGGGTTTTTTGGGGGTTTTTTTTAATTGCAGAGTTAGCCTTTGCTGCAACATGCTAACTAGCCTGAATTTCAGCTTCAACACTGACAAAAAAAAAAAAAAAAAATCTTATTTGACTGTTTCACTTTCAAGGAGTGAGTTGGACATTTAATCATTTTGTGGGTGCTGTACCACAAGCAAAAGTTTCACAAAGTTGTCCTGAAATGTAAATTGAAGCTCAGTGCTGTGACAGCTGTGCACTCGTTTGACGCATTAGCAAGCTGCCCAAGTGGCTGCTCCTGTTTGTACACTTAATGTGTCATGAATGTGTCAGTAATGTATCATTGAATTACATGAACGCACCTGACAATTTGTGGCGACATCTCTGGGCTTCTCTCCTTGCATTCGTCCTCGTCCGATGAACATTATTAAGTACTGTAAATGGGATTTACAGTATTTACTAATGAGTTTGTGTCAACCCCCAGCAATGTCAGGCTACCAGTGACTGTTGATTTTGGCCAAATTAATTGTTTGGAACAACTGTGGGGCAGAGTGATACGTAGGTTGAAACTGTTCTATAATTTTGTATTTCAGAATCTTTTCTAGCAAACTTTACTTCATAAAAAAAGTTCATTTCACATTTTGAACATGACGTTTGCCCTCTCCTCTTCTGCAAAAAGTTATGTTTGCCTTGGCGGCAATACTAGTCCCACCCCGTCTGACGGTTTCCATGGCTACCGTTGCCCTGCCGGCCACGCCTGTCCTGTTGGGTCAGCCACAGCGCTGCCATGCGAGCCTGGCACCTACAGCCCAGTTTCCGGAGCCGCCGAGTGCATTGTATGCCCCAGAGGAATGATGTGTTCCTCCTCAGCCACCTTGGAGCCCGCCATCTGCCCACTCGGTGAGCAGGAGTCGAGAATGAGTCAGATCCTTAAATAATTTGTCTTGGCAGGTAAATCGACTCAATATCAACTCTGTAGGTCACTATTGTCCCGTTGGAACAGCCCTGCCTCAACCTTGCCCTTTAGGGATTTTCAACAATCAGACAGGCGCACACTCCCCCTCACTCTGCACAACCTGTCCTCCTGGATTGTACTGCAGCACATATGGGGCCTCATCACCACAAGGTACTTATTTTATCCCACACCCTCCTTTTGTATTATTCACAGAGTCTTCAAAAGAAGTAGCACATGTAATTCGATGCTTGGGTTGGTTTATAATGCCCTATTGAATTGTGTCAAGGTTCTTGTTTGCAAGGCTATTTTTGCCAGGGTAGAGCCACGGGACCAACTCCACAAAACTCAGATAACTTCCCTGACAATGGGCCTTGCCCTGCAGGTCTCTACTGCCCGGTGGGGTGCCTCTCTCCAATTCCTAGCCCTGTTGGCAGCATCCGCAACACTACTGGTACTCAGGAAGTTTTGACTAAATATCGTTCGAGCCTCAACAGTATATTGATGTAAAAAAAAATAAAGTGACTGTTTTAATTGGGTTAAGTTAAAGTTTGTGTGTTTATTAATTCTCCCGTAGGAGGCGTGACAATGGAGACCTGTCCTGCAGGTCACTACTGCTCTGCCGAAGGTCTCATCAGCCCTAGTGGGCCCTGTGCGGCTGGTTTCTACTGCCCTTTTGACTTCTCTTCAACCACTCCATATGCCTTCCCGTGCCCCAAGGTTTGTCAGTACTGTACATACCACTTTTTACTGTCCTACCCTTAATTTGTGTTTTGCTCTTTCAATCATTTAATTTTACATTAGAAAAATATCATCCTCCAACACTAAACGAAAATACTGAAAATAATGATCTTGCCTCAATGTACACAAATCTAATTACTGAGTCGCACTTCAATTATTATCTGCATAAAGTACAAAGGCTGCCAGCCCGCCTTTGAGCTTTCCTTTGTTTGACCACTGGAAGTCAGCATAGGATCTGTAATTGTTTGCAGTTGTTGCATATATTTGCTCAAAAACAATGCGGTGGCCAACCTTACAGTGATGCAGGTCTTCTGCTCACCCTAGGGTAGATGAGCAACTATACTGTATTAATCAGGGCCACAATCTTCAATTGCAATGTTTCATTGTCATATTGGCTCTGAAACAACATCTTTGAGTCTTGATAAGCAATTTCTGCAGGAAGTGTAATTTTGACATTGACACTGTTTTAAATGCAATGTATGTTTCTCCCCAAGGGCCACTACTGCCCACAAGGTTCGCCCCTTCCCCTACCATGTCCCAGTGGAGAGTACCAGCCAAATCCAGGCTCAGACTACTGCATCCCCTGTCGACCTGGCTTCTTTTGTGAGGAGGCCATTGTAGGAGAGCCTCAAATCTGCCCACCACATTTCTTCTGCCCAGCAGGTAAATTAAAAGTCCTACTGTGAATAGTAATGTAGAATTGTAAAACATAATTCGGATTCCAAATGGTAATTACAATGTAATCATCCTCAGTGGCTCATTTCTTTTCAGGTACCATGGTGCCTCATCCATGCCCAAATGGCTCATACAGTGATCCAAACAAGGGAGGACTACAGGAGGCCCGGGAGTGTTTACCCTGTCCTCCAGGGCGATTCTGCAGGTAAATAACAAAGATAACTGCTAGTACAGCTCATGCATGATGGCACTTTTGCATGCCCAGGCAGTCAGCCGTGTGTGCGTGCACCTGACACACTTACGTGACACGGCCTCCTGTCAGGTGGCCCGTGCTCGTTGGCGAGATATAAGCACAGATGCACCGTTAGCACGCATGCAAGGACGCACCTGCTCAGAGGGAAATAATCATGTTTCTGCTTGGTCTACACTCGCTGCCAACAGAATGTGCGCCCACTACCTCCCCTCACAGGCATTTTGCCATCTTAGTATGCTTGGTAATCAGTTGCGAATGGGAGGTAAAAATAGTGAGAATTAATAAAATGTTTGAATGACGGCTGTGAATAAGGGCTTTAAAATTGGTTTCGCTCATCTACTCTATTCTGTGCAAACAATGTGTCACGGCACATGAAAAATAAAATCAAGTATATTAAATGAGGCTTTTTACACAAGATTGGCAGCATACATTTATCCAAAAATTAAGGAATCGCCTTGACAAATGGAAGTAAGCGATTTAGTACAGCCCATGATTCCTGACTGAATTGATCTGAAGTTATTGGTGACGCTCGAGCTATATATAGCGTGTGTATTTACTGCTGCATGTTCTTCCTTCCAACAGAGCTGGTAAGATACAAGGCATGTGTGCTGCAGGGTATCTTTGCGTCTCTGGGAGTGCAGATTTCACCCCTCAGGGATCATTACCCGACCTGACCCAGTGTCAGTGGGGTGTGCAGTGTGCTGGGCCATGTCCACCAGGTACAACTTCAATCCATATGAACATTTGACACTTATACGCCACTTGTGCATTCATTTAGATTCTTGAGTTATAGGCCCTGGAAAGTAAATTCTGAAATTTATTTCAAAATAAATTGCTGAAGATAATTGCTGAAAACCTGCAAAGACTGAGTATTAATTCTAGGGATATAACATTGCACCGTTTTTAACCATGTCAGTTTTCCTAATATTTGGGTGTTAATTGACACATTTGGATAGCCGGCATGAGTTGCCCCTTCCTTATCTTAATTTAATTTGAGCCAACCTATCTACACCCCAAAAATGCATCTTCCTTTCAGATCATCCACTGGCACTTTAGAGCACCTTGTTTTTTAGTTGTGAGTGCCGATAATTCAAGCAGAGAAAGGAACAAATTGCTGTACATTTTACATGACTTCCTTTTGTGGCTGTCAAACAGTGTCGTGGAATGTTCCAATCTAGTTTTCCGATGATAATGCTTTACCTGCCCTCAATCATCCCCTGCAGCCCTTCATCTATGGAACTTAGGTCCACAAACGATCACTGATCTTGACTCTTTCCATAATTTTATGTCCCAACGAGTGCTGCAATTTTAAATTCTGTCCTGAAGCATTTTCAATCTGCAAGCTCGATCAGACTTTCACACATGGCTTTTATTTTTATGTCTTTCCTAATTGATGTTAGATTTTTATTCATGTGTTGTAAGGTGAGTACCACAAAATAAATATTAGCAACTATTGGTAAGTTCGAAGTAACTTTGCTTTATTTTATTTTAGGCTTCTACTGTCCTGAGGGCACTGAAAAGGCTGTGATGTGTCCTGAAAACACCGTCAGAAATTACTCAGGCGGTGCCAGCGCACAGGACTGTTTAACATGTCCAACTCGACACTGGTGCCAAGCTGGTATTTATGCTTTCTATCAACTGTAAAATATTGCAGTGCTTTAAATTGGTTAACACTGAAATGAAAGGGAATGCAAGCAGGTGTTCATTTAACCTTCTACCATGAAAACGTTTGATCCTTTTTCACACAAACTCCCTGAGCATTCCTTGGACCACGGCGAGCAATATCAGACATGCCCACGGATGAGAGGGTGAGAGTGGTGCGCAATTGCCCATGCGCGCAGCTTCGAGGGAACATCGCTGAAAACGACCAGAGCCTTTTTGCTTTACTGCCATGCGGTTAATTGCAGTCAGTGTGCAGGAGGATACGGGACTGAAAATGGCAAAAAATAACAGAACGCCACCAGTTTTGAAACTATGACCAAGACTTGACTCTTCAAGGCAGTGCTCGCAAGTGATCAATGACAAAATGAAATCGATTCTTCAACCCGGGTGCAAGGAATGTATGAAATGTGCAATGAAATAGTCTCCATCCATCATTAATCCATCCATCGAAAACCATTTTCTCACCTCTTTCCTAAAATTACACCCTTGTGCTTGTTTACAGGAGAGCCGAATCCTCGTCTGTGCCCCGCTGGTCATTATTGTAACGGTTTGTCTGAAGCTGACAGTGATGGATGGAGCGGGCCCAAGCCTTGTCCTGTGTACACCTATCGAGCCTCTCCCGGAGCAGGCAGTAAGGGCGACTGCCTTCCCTGCCCTCCCGGTTCCCACTGCAACAGCACAGGTGCCGCACAAAACATGCCAGACAATGAGCACCACTCTACTCCACGAAATGTTAATTAAAGTGGCGGCGGACTTATTCATAGTCTTAATTAAAACAGCAAATGCAAAGGTGACGTGCTATATCTTATAATGAGGTGGAAAATGTTGCATGCAGAGAGCTATACCACAATATCTTTCTCTTCTGCCCGACATTACTCAAACACAATTCAAAGCAAACTGCCTTTCCGGGTTTTATTAAATTCACTTTGTATGCACACTATTATCCTACCGCCTGAGGCTGAGGCGGAGATAAGATTGGAGGAGTTTTAATATGATTCAAAGCACTGAATTTAAAACAGATTTTACCTGAGGTGACACCTTTGATTGAGCGGCGGATTTGGAACAGAAAAACTTTTGTTTTAATCTGCCACATACATGCTATATTAAAAAAAATAAATGAAAATAATCAAGCCATATTGATGCCATATCGATGAAATGATACTCCCTCTGATTCTTTTATAGTCAGAAATGCTTGACTGATGTAGAACGCAACGTGTGAAAGGCTCTTTTTTGATAGCGTAATCTTTATCAACACGCCTGTTTCTCAGCATCACTGATGAAAGAGATATAAAACACCTGTTTGTATATTACATATGTCATTTTTATAACTTTCGATCAGGGCTTGCAGACTATTCCAACACTCTTTGCCCACCTGGATTCTGGTGTAGTGGGTCTGGAGCACCCATCTTCTGCCCAGCGGGCAAAAAGAGGAGGTTTCCTGGTGCTGCTGACCCAAGCCAATGTGAGCCTTGCGCTGGGGGGACCTATTGCCCAGACCCTCAGGCTACGGGGAAGCCCAATGTGGAGGGCATCCCATGCAGGGCCTCTTACGAATGCCCCATGGGTAGGTTGATGCACACCATTCATATTATTGCCATTTAATGCAAAGTAGACCAACAAAATTGTATGATATCTAATATTTGAAAACACATTCGTTTGACCTTCCTTCTTCTGTACAGCTGGACGGTAACACCCAAAAAAATACTTTTGAAATAAATCCCGAAAGCTTCTGTATAAAATTGTCATTAAAAAAATATGGACATTTTCACTCGTTCGTTTTGCAAACTCAATATGTTGTTGCTAACTAAAATGTATCCGTTATTTCTTTAGTTCTCATTAACTATTACATGACCTCGCTCCTTAAAAGAGGGCCTGAGGCAAGATTCAAATGCAGTCGTGCCAGCCACAAGTCGACCTTACTGCCGTCCATGGCTTTACTTTTAAAACCTGCGTTTGAACCACGATGATGTTTTTCAGTCAATACTTTTTGCTCACTCTTCAGGGTCAGCCTCAGAGAAGTTGTGCAGAGCTGGCTCATACTGCGGACCACAGACTGCTGAGTCTCAAATCTGTCCAGCGGGTTATATTTGTACAGCAGGGTCACGGACCTACAATCTTCCCGAACAACTGTGAGTGTCCTAACCTTTGAATACCCAAATCTACTCAATTTCTTAGCATAGGAAGCATATTTCTAAAGGTGATTTAGATAAGAGTGCCTTAACACGGTAGAAGTGACTGTGCAGATATTTTACAAATAACCTCGTTGGCCGCCCTCTGCAGCTGCCCCTTTCCCTTCTACTGCCCAGCCAACAGCTCTTCAATGAAGTCTTGCGATGGAGGCTCAAAGCCTGTCAACGCCAGTGAGCTTCGAGGATCCAAAAAGTGCTGCTGCAGTGTATGTGAGGGTGGCACCTATCGACCTTACCTATCAACTGTCTTACAATGTCTGCGGTGCCCTCCAGGATACTTCTGCCCACCAGGTGTGAACATCCATAAAAGGACATGTCAATGTCGCTGGTGTTTGTATGTGGAAAAAAAAAATCAAAATCTTCAGACAAGCGGCAATGTTGTTCTTCTTTCTATAATCGCATAAAGAAAAATAACATTTGAAAATAAAACCACCTGCAGTACTCTCTATAACCGTCTAATGTGCTTCATAAATGCTCCATATTTCACATCATAATGGCTGGCAATTGTTTTCATGCCATAGGCACAGACGACTACAAGCGCAATTCTTGCCCTGAAGGATACGTATGTCCATCTGGATCCATACAGCCGACACCTTGCCCCCCTGGCTCCTTTGGCAATCTGAGAAAAGCGCAGACACTCACGGGCTGTCACCCATGTCCGGCTGACACCTTCAACCACCTCGATGCACAGAGAGCCTGCTTCCCTTGTGGCAGCTCCTCCACTTCGCCACCAGGTTATACCGACACGTCCATAAAAATGATCCGTACCACCATCCGTCTCTTTTAAAGCACTGCAAACGATATGGCTGGCAAAATGGATCGTATGGAGGGTATTATTTGGCCAGTTTACCGTTACAATTGCAGAAAGTGAAAAGTACGGAATTGGCAGCTGTCAATGTAAATTTGTCACGTGGCCATATGCATTCTAGAATTGGTATTATAAGATAAGATAAGCAAACCTGTATTCGTCTCACAATGGAGAAATTCGCAATTTACAGCATAATCTTGGATATGTATTTGAATTCAGTCGACCGTGCTTTTAAGGACACGGTGTTATCGCACTTGAACAGACTGGGGCCTTCCATAAAATTAGAAGTATAGAATGCTTAATGTCTTGAGCTAATGTGTTGAGCTAAAAAAAACATATTTGGGATGGATTAATTGCTTGACCTGCATGTATGACCTGCATGTATTGAGTAAAACTTTTCCATTAGTGTCGTTATTATTCTTTAACTGACTGACAAAAAATTCTAAGCTCCAACTGGCTACTACTGAAGAGAGGAAGTCTTTTTCCAACTTTCAAAAAAATATATCAGGATCCTTTCCCAATAAAGGTACTTGATAAAGAGCTGAGTTCTAATACTTTTGCCTCTATTATTTATTTTTACAGTCGACAAATAGCCATGATGTGTCATATTTTGTGTCTCTGCCTAGGTTCTTCGTCTTGTACCTGCATTGGCAAAAATCGCTCTTTTCAGCGCTCGGATGGTGCGTGCTTGTGCAGAACTGGCTTTATCTTTTATAACGAGCTGGATTTCAAAAGCACTACTTCTGATAGTGCGCTGGACTGCCAGCCTGAGGTCAGTAGTATTTCTGATACAGACACTGAAAGGAAGTACAATACCTTCTGCTCATCATATATTCACCTGCGCGTGTGCGTGCGTGTGTGTGTGTGTGTGTGTGTGTGTGTGTGTATTTTAGATGTATATGAGGTGCGGTCCAGGGCAGGTTAGGCTGGCTGCATCCAGAGAGTGTGTATCACCTTCCCTTTACTCGTGTAATGTAACCTGTGGACCAAATGGAGGAACTCTTGATGTGGAGATGGGCATGTGAGTATCACTCATGCTTTTGTGTTTCATTTCACTCTCATTTCATAGTTTGTAAAAGTGTTACATGAAAATGTTACATAAGCTGCAAATCGATAACCGTGCATTCAGTGGCAGTCAGATGTGTTCTTCCTTTATCCACCTCATCCTGTTTCCCCAGCTGCCACTGTAAGCGATACGTGTCTGCTGAGGAGCTTTGCAACACTTCCTGCCTCTCCAAAATGCCTCAACTTTCAGCCCGTTTCTCTCCGGATGGACATTTGTTCCTCAGCATCAAAGAAAATGACAGCACACTCTGGGTCAAAGTAAAACTTGAAGCTATACCTTTTGAGCATAATACTGGAACGATTGCAAATGTGTGCATGTGTGTAAGATTTATACTAAAAAATGCTGAAACTGATTTCCCTGAAACTTTGAGGAGCAGTGTTGGGTAGGCTAAGGAAGACCACGAGCTCACATTTTTTTCTGTCATTTAAATGATGATCAAAATGATAGCTCTTGTTGTCGCACTTTCTGGAGGTAATCAGATTTCTTTTACTCTTGTTCAGAGTTTGAGCAAAACATTTTTCAGTGTCCATTTTCAAAAGCACTTATCCTCACTCCATTTCTGCACGGATGCCAGTACGTTCCCTCCCAACCCATCACGTTCAGGTGGAATCACTCACGTCTCTTATATTCTGTCAAGGATTTCGACAGCTCAAACGTGGAGAGGTTATAGCTTTCGGCGAATTATTGTTGCTCCATAGAGCCGAATGAAGCCCGACTGTGGAAACTGGTTGAGTGGAATAGAATTGTTCGACAAAGAAATATTAATAAAAAAAAAAGCATTTCTTGTGCTCTTATGCTTTGCAGAGTTAAATGGTAACTTTTTTTCCAGTGTGGCCTTGGTGCATTGAGTGACTGAAATGCACTAAGTATAAGTTAATTGCGTCCTTTATCCTGATATAAAATAGCGTGTGATAGTGGAATAAAAGTCTTCTGATTTACCTTGAATTTACCTTGAATTTGTGGGTCAAACTGTTTGAGGATGTCTGGATGAATTTTGTGTCTGTTCACTCTGAATAAAACGTGACAAACACTGCTGCCCAAACTGCTCACCATAAAAACATTATTTTACTCTGACTGGATTTTTATATGCCAAAGCTGTCCTTTGTTTAATAATTTTCTAGACACCCAAACAGGATGCCTAGTCACTTTATAAGTGAAAGCCGATGATTTTGGTATTCAGGCTTGCAGTCGTTGTTCTCATTAATCGTTTCTTTGTCTTGTTTTGTTTTTTTCCAGACTTTAGTGGATGTTTTAGGACCAGATCCCCTTCCAAAGAATATTGGCAAAATCCATTTGGTTGAGTTTGACTCTCAAGGAGTGTTTGGTTGGATTCCCAAACAAAGAGAGGACATTGAAATGTTTCTTTCCGGTGAATTGTCCTGATAGCAATACACTTTCTTCAATGCAATATTATACATATAAAAAAAAAAGGTCAATCATTCTGAGGCTGACTTGATTTATCTCATGAGTAGATGCCCGGGCTCCCACACGGAGAAAGAGGAGAAGTGCAGAAGGCCATGAGTGGGACTTGCCTGTCCTTCCTCGTATTCCAAACCCTGTTGCTTGTCTCTCCACTGGTGACATGCTAATTTTCCACCTAACCATTAACCACACAGGTAAACAAACTTATTTCATTGTTTGTTTGTTTGTTTGTTTTTTTAAGTGTTGACTGTACTAATTCATCCCATACCGATAAGATCGCAGTCTGAGCCACTTCCCGTTCTATGAGAAAGACCACTTGTTTAACAGTAACCCCAGCTGGGACTTTGGAGTCTTCAGGCGTGTGCAGACACTCATCAAGCAGTCAAATCTGAATAACACATGGTAAGGCACTGCAGGAATAACTTCCGAGTGCAGTGCTTCATATTTTTTGATGAATATTTTGTTTGATCTCCTGTCAGGTTTGCCCATGCTTTTTCGGAAACGGGGAAATATGTCTTTCTGGATAGCGCGGTCCCAGATTGGAGTTTGGTGGTCGTGGTAAGTGAGGATGGGACAGAATGTGACCGCTGGGCCTCGGCATTCCAGGCAATGACCCCAGCACAGCTTGTCAGTTATGGAGTCATCAAGCAGCACCAACTAAACCTTTTACCGGATTGGAGAACAATTGCAGGTATCCTGCTGTTTATGCAGCAATTTCTCACAAAGCGATATCCATTCAGTGGCCACACACCTGGGCAATGCATCGAATTTCTTTGTAAAAGCTGTTCCAAAAAAAAAAAAAATCAGCCATTTCAGAAATATTGAATCATTGAAACAGTTTTTTGGGGTTATAGATGAGTGGATGGATGCAGCCTAAGGCACACCTGTGCAATAATTACACTGTCTAATCGGTATCTTGATATGCCGTATCTGTGAGGTGAATGAATTATTTGGGCAAAGGGGAAGGAACTCACTAACACAGATTCTGACAGATTTGTGAACCATATTTGAGAGAAATGGGCCTTCAAGAATACATCAATATTTATTCTCACACGACAAACCGAGCATGTTCCTAAAAGTAACTGTTTTGGATCCAGCTCTTGTTGTTGGCTCTATAAAAGGAGACTACGCTATCTGTGTTCAGGCCTCCTGAGTCTGCTCTTCGTAGTCGTAGTGGCCGTGACCACAACAGTTGTGGTTCTTTGGCCCAGCAAATCCAAGGTGGTGTCCCAGTGGAGGACAAAGCCAAGGTGGCGCAGCCTTGGAGACCCCCCGCGTCTTGTAGAGTGCCCATGCAGTGGAGACGGGTACAATATGCTATTTTAGAAACAGAGATAATTAAATTGTCTTTTTGGTTACAAATCAAACCGTATTTTTTGCTTTATTTAACCAATATAAAAACACTTTGTGTTTTTTTTGTCTCCGTTAGTTTATGTGGTTCTCCAGGCAGTCGAGGCGTAGGAGAGGGAGCCGAAGCTGAGGAGCCCACTATCTCTAAAGGTGGTAAGCTCACTTTTAAATGAGTTGGAGGCGGAAAGTGTTGTATGCTGAGTGGGTAGATTCCTGGAATTTGTGACACAGAATCTCATACAAAGACCATATTCGTTTGTTTATGCTGCGAGCCTTTCTATAACTTTTTTCATTTTTAACCCTTTCATGCACCCTGTAACCCGACAGCATGATAAACTGTACAGTGTAGTAACCACTGTCCGTGGAAGGGTTAATTATATTGTTAAAGAAGGATTTTGCACTCAAAAACATAAAGTGTAAGATTTGAATGTAGCCTCGCGTCGATTTTTTGAAATGTATAAACAATTTAAAAAAAAAGTGATTAAACATACCTGTTGAGCAGACATGTTGTCCCTTCGCTCTGCTTCCGTTTGCTAGTCTTATGCCCACTTGATGACAAATGAAGACAGGCAAACTAAACACCACGTCCAAGTTCCCCGTGGTGTTTGAGAGTACTGGCGAATTGAATAGTACCTTGTTAGTCGCACATAGTTGATTTATCTGCTGGATGTGTCACGATGCGTGGTGGTGGAGACCAAAAAGCAGGCAGGAAGGAGGAGCAGGGTGAACTCGACAAATTGTATGAACAAATGAACTAATGACACAATGACCAACAGGTGTGCAGCTTCAGGCGGAGCCCTACAGTGCCACCTGTTGGTCACAAACAGAACCGCGACAGTATGAAGATAGCAGCGATGTGTATTCATTTTCAAAGTGATGCCGGAAGCTTTTGTGACACCCCTCGTATGTTATACAGAAAGTTTTAACAAATATGACAGAAGGGGATTTTTTTTCTTTTTTGGGTTGCAAACTTCCCCCCCCTTCAACTATAGCCGTTCATCAAAGCATGGCTAAAACAACAAACGTAATGAAGCCCCCCAAGACAGTTCCACTTCAGCAAGCTCGTATTGATATTATGTGAAAGCTTCAGGACTCTTCACTGTGCTCTTTTGGATTATTCATGCAGCTTGATAGCACATTTCGGTCTCCAATGGCTACATTAAAAGTCCATCGAGCGTGACCAGGCAGCATTTAAGAGCTTTCCCCTGTTTGATTGATAGCGAACATAACGGCCGTTATCACGTTGAACTGTGGTAGTATTTCTATCTCTCAGTTACCCTTCTGTGATTTTAAGCGCGGTAGTTATCATTCATTACATGAACGTCTTGTCCTGTCGAATGTGAGAGTTATTATCGAAGTGCAGATAAGGTGACTTTTGAGTCACGATAAGCACTGTTTCTCATGCAGGAATTGTATCAGCGTTTTGCGATTTGGAGGAGTTCAATGTGAAGACGTTGTACGACAAACTGGAAGATCAAAACCTTCACGTGGCCTCGCAGCTGGCGCGACATCGCAAAGATACGCAGCAGTTTTATCGGAACATTAATCAACAGATTGACGCGCTACAGGTGACACTAGATCGTGACGTCTCTTGAAAAATTCCTTTCATATACGTTAACACTACACTGTCTGGTGTTCTCAAACGATAATTTGCATCTTTTCTTTCAGAATGTATTTGAGGAAATGGATGGTAAAAATCTGAGTCTCCTAAATCGACTGCTAGCATCTCAGAATTCGACGAGCTCGAAACCATACAAGTCTGTTAAAAAGATTAATGATGAAGGTAGAAAAAAAAAGATGCCATTATCTGATTTTACCACTGATCATGAATATTTTATTACACTGTATTTTGATGAGTATTATTTCTTTCTCATATGTTCATTGTTTTTTTTGTTTTTTATTTCACAATGTCATAGTGCTAATGTCACAAAAAATGTTTTGTTTTGTTTTTTTGTTTCAAATCTGGAATTGCATTTCAACACCGCCATTTGCCAGTTGGTGAGTCCTCAGCATTACTGGAAGCTGTTCTCAAATCTGTGGAGGCACTCTTATGGAAGATAAACCAAGAGACTTGGCAGCCCTCTCTCTCACACCAGCATCCTGATGCCATGGAATGTGAACGACAAACTCAAACCAGTAACATCAAGACAACACCGGTACAACACTCCTGTTCACTTTGTACCATTTAATTTAACAACTGAAAATGTCATGAATCAAAGTATTCGTTCCAAATGTTCATCCCTAGGTTTCATCTATAAATTCGACCCAAACGGAAGCACTTCCCCACGATGCACGTAAGTAACAAACCTTCAAAGTAGCTGATTTGTCACTCCAAAGCCCTTTCTCATGCTAATTCGGTGTGGTTAGCACAACTCGGCTCACATCACAGCAAGCAGCAGTTTGGCATAGTTGACAAATCTTCAAAAGGCTAAAAGCTGTTCAGCGCCACTCACCGCTTTTTTTTTAAAGAAATTTAGAAGAAAAATGGAATTCAGTGGTAGAGTTTAAGATTCAATGCTTTTCTTGTCCTTTTGTGGAACGTGTTATGAAGTGATGCACTGTTTTTTTAAAAAAAAATATCATGCTTATTTTTTTTTGTAAGCTTTTGTTTTTTTTCAAATCACTGAATTTTTTTTCTTTCTCTTAGTCCATTTACCGAAGCCTGCTCCTTGTCTCAATGATGTGGATTTATCCAAGCTCGTCAGCATATCTCCCTTGTATAAGACTTTACAAGAGATCCAGCAATCCCTGCAAAATCTCAACCCAGCTGATCCCGTTCAGCTTCTCCCCAATGGTAAACAAACACTAAAAACATCACACTGGTAAAAAAAAAAAAAAAAAAAAAAAATCATACAAACCAACCAACAGGTTTTCCAAAATACAGTAAATGATATTTTCCTCTCTTCTCACAGTGATCTGGAATTCATCCCAAGCGAAGCCTAAAGTGCCACTCATTCCAACTGCGCTGGACAGCCTCTCGCCCCAGCACTCCGCTGTTTTCCTATTTGGCTGCCGGGTGATGGAAGTGCTTGAGAAATGCCCCTTGTTCCCCTCCTCCGTGCTCCTCACGCTGGCCAAGTGTCTCCCACTTTCGCCACAGTGCTCTGATAACAGCCTGCTGGCACATTGCAGGGGGGACTTTTATTTTGACGCCGGCCATCAAGTTCTTTATCTGTCCGAGGCTAAGCTCGAGCACGTGGGGCATTTTATCGCCACCATTCTTCAATCCATGGCTCACATAGCGTCAGGTGATTGTTAAGATAACTCTGCGCCGTCTAAAAAATTCTGCCAGTCATCTTTGGAAGCAATTTAACCTCATTGTAAAACTTTTTCTCGATTTATTACTCCCACGTCAATTTCAAATGACAAAAATGGTGTTACCCCGCTCTAGTGCTCTATGGATTCAGTTATGTTTTTAATCCAGGAAATGATGCCCAGAGCTTCATGCTAGCTCTTCATGAGGCTGTCTCGGCTCTGAGTCTCCAACTATTCAGCATGTCTTTCAAACAGAGCACAGCAGAGGTGTGTATTTGGCATTTCAATGTCATGGCTGATATTCATATGGCGTCATTTGTTTGAATCGCTCTGGCCCCAGGGTGCACTGAGTGAGGAATTTACCAACATCAGATTCCCCAAAGGAGCGCACTTCACTGAGCGTCTATTAGATGCAAGGTGAGCTCGAAAATTCAAAAGTAAAAGTAGAGTCTCGTTTCCACATGGTGCGGAACTAACGCGATGAGCTTTTCCCTTTCAGAGTGGAGCAATACAAGCATTGCATGTTAGAGCAGCTCTTTGCAAATCTCTCACAAAGTACAACTGAGGAGATTCAGACAGGTGAGAGCCTCCACACAAAAGCAATGGGAACACCCAGAATGGTGAACAAAAAAAAACAATCCCATTTGTTCAGGAATGCTTGTCGACTCCCCATTTGTTGGAATTTATAATAAAGCCACTGAGCGGGGAACAATTGCGACTGTTGGCAAAGGTAGAAAAATACATGTCCACGTCAGTGTTCATCAGCGTTGGTTCAAGGTCGCAAATGTTTGTAAAACGTTCGGCATATGTTTGCCAACAGTTTTTGCATTGTTTTTTTTTGAACATGTCCAAAATTTCCTTCCGACAAGAAGAATGCAGACGAAAGTCTGGCAATCGTTTGCGACCATGAATGAACCCTCACAAACTCCGACGTGAACGCAACATTAGCTAACTTCTAAAACACTCCATAGGGGCTTAAATGATGGAATTACAAATCAGCCGTTCAAATTGTGGCCATTAGAATACCTTTATTAAAAAGACAGTTTCAGGAAACATTCTGATATTTGTTTCTAAAGTATTCTTTTTTTAATTCGCTTAACAGCTTAAGCAAGTGATTTTCAAACTTTTCAAACCAAGAACCACCACAAAAAATACTTCGAACCATCACTACGATGTCTACATTAACTGTCCAATATGCCAATTGTGTTTTTGATTCCTAAAAAAAAAAAAAAAAAAAATGTAAATGATATCTTAAAATTGATATCTTAATCGATGTTTAAAAACAAATAATTCTGAAGTATGAAATGCCTTTATTAAAAAGACAGTTTCAGGAAACATTCTGACATTTGTTTCTAAAATATTCTTTTTTAATTCGCTTAACAGCTTAAGCAAATGATTTTCAAACTTTTCAAACCAAGAACCACCACAAAAAAATACTTCTAACCATCACTATGATGTCTACATTAACTGTCCAATATGCCAAATTGTGTTTTTGATTCCTAAAAAAAAAATAAAATAAAATTATATCTTAATGGATATTTAAAAACAAATAATTCTGAAGTATGAAATACAAATGTATTACACTTAAAAGATCAATTCCACTGAAATTTTACTTGACATCAGTACTGGATTAAAAAAAAAAAAAAGTTAAAACCACTGTCATTGTGCACAGTTTGAATATTTAATTCAATGATTCTTTCACATGCCACAAGAGGTAGCCCATGTACCACCAATGTTACACATCCCACACTTTGAGAATCATTAGTTTCATGCGTTGGGTTATTTTTGGTGCTTGAGTACTTGCTGAGGCAGGCTCACTTGTCGTCTTCTTTTGTTTTAAACAGACTCAATGATCACAACATAATGAATGAGCAATTAGGAGTTTTTGAACAGGATGTTGATCTCATAAAACTGTTTCCATCAGCAAAAAAAATTGTCCCGCAGTTATTAGTCAAGCAAACCAAGTGTCCTCGCTTCCAGGCCTCTGGACTTTTTCAAGGCTCACAGCAGGCGGCAATGTCAACTTTTCAGCTGCTTGAATTTCCAATGGATGCATTAATTGTATCCGCCGGGGAATTGGCCTGCAGTACACGGACACGCATGCACGCTGAGTCAGTGATAAACATAAAAGTACTTCACATCCACTTGGTTCATTAGCTGAAATCAATTGGTTCTGTATTGGGGTAGGGGGATTGTTTCCCTTGTAAATAATGCATGTTTGCACTCAACCATGAAAAAAAATGAACAACTGATGAAAATTGAGACAAAACAGCCCCGACAAGCCGCCATTAAAAGAAAAACAACTAATTCTTTAATGAGCCTTCAGTGCGATATGGTGGACGGCTCTTCTACTTTGTAGAACGAAGAATGTGCATCGGCTGTGTGAAGCACACTCACGTTATTGAAGCAGTACAGTAGAGTGAGTTGGCTTTATGAATAATACTTAATTTCATGAAATTATTTTGAAATGATGACCTCTCCCACCTCTTTACTGGTTGACGATTTTAAATCAAGACATCCAGGGTCCATTTTGAAGTCACCAAAGATGGAGTGTCTTTTATTTTCATCATAAAATGATGCAAGAAACCTTTAAATGGCACTTGTTTCAGCCCATGAAGTAAAAAATGTCACCTCAACAAGACATTTATGATCCACTCCTCTGTTTTCTATTGCCCTTATCCTCATTGGGTTGTGGGTGAGTTCAAGTCTTTGCCCACTTGGGATGTGAAATGAAAAAAAAATCAGTTCCAAGTAATTTAATTCTAGGAATCGTTTGTTTTCCTCTTGGATTAAAATAAAAAAAAAAAGAAAGAAAATAGGACTCCGACACTGGTGAGGCTGCTCGTCAGGGCGACAAGGACGGAAGACCAAGGTGGAGAAAAAAAACTGTAATCCCCCGCATTGGATACATACAATGGACCCTTTCAAACAAATGCACACATCCATTTGCGATTGTCAATGGAGGTGTGACCCCAGTGGATGTTCGGGGCAGGAAATGACCCTGAAGTCATTGTTCCCTGCTTGCTTCAGTCATAGAGCTCTGGCTCCAGGACTTATGGAAAGACATTGGTTTCATCACAATCATGACACTGTGCTATGGGAGTGACTCAAGCTGAAATCAAAATTGCCTTCGATTTTTCCCTATGCAGATATGCAATGATCACACTGTATTTAATCATGGTTAAATCTGGACCGATCGTATCTTCCATCATGGAGATTCCATCCAACATCGACTTCCAATCTGTGTTCAGCCTTCTCACGTTCCTTTTTTTTTGTGCCTATTTTTACAGCTTTACCAGAATACGGGACTCCAATGGAGTATATATATATATAGGCATGCTGGAGCCTATCCCAGCTGTCTTTGGGCAGTAGGCAAGGGACACCCTGAACTGGTTGCCAGCCAATCGCAGGTCACACATATACAGTACAAGCAACCATCCACGCTCACCCATTCATTTGTAGGAATTTGTCAAAGAACTCGCCCTGGAATTCACCCAAAATAGCTGTTTCAAACCTAAATTGTCTTCCTCTTCAATTTTGGGTGTTGGTCCTTTTGAATTTTTCACGTTTCCTTTCGTCGGCCCGGTGGTCCAGTGGTTACCTCACAGTGCAGAGGTACCGGGTTCAATTCCAGCTTCGGCCTCCCATGTGTGGAGTTTGCATGTTCTCCCCGGGCCTGCGTGGGTTTTCTCCGGGTACGATGGTTTCCTCCCACATTCCAAAAACATGCATGGCAGACTGATTGAACACTCCAGATTGTTTCTAGGTGTGAGTGTGAGCGCGGATGGTTGTTCGTCTGTGTCTGCCCTGCGATTGGCTGGCAACCGGTTCACAGTGTCCCCCACCTACTGCCTGAAGACGGTTGGGATGGGCTCCAGTACCCCCCGCGACCCTTGTGAGGATTAAGCGGATCGGAAAATGAATGATGAATGTTTCCTTTCTTAATAGACATGTTCGCTCAATTTAGTGTTGGTCAGGCCCTTAATAATGTTCAGTTTTGCTGGTATTTAACACGATTTTGAATGTATTTTTGTGTTTGCATTTTGCAGTTGTCTCGAAAATTGCGTTCTTATTACTTTCTTTGGCATGTTTCATCTTTTTCGAGCCCTTGTATTGAATCTCATCAGATTATTCATTTGTACCTAGAGTTGATACTTGCAAATGTCGGTCTTTGTTTCCCGCACTCATCTTTTTACAGAACACTGATCGCAAACAAACAATCAAACAAACAAACAAACAAACAAAAAAAATCACATTATCTAGTAACACACACTGTGCGGTGTGTCCTGTGGCAGAAGGCAGCTCCACCAAGCCTCAGCCATAATGGAACAATCCTACTGAATTTGAAGAGACGTTATATATCTCAGCGCCTCGATGAGCTCCAAATCACATTGGAGCGCATCGGGCAGCAGGAGCACCAAAGAAGCAAGTCCAGCGCTGGAACAAACACGTGCAGCAGCGCCGCTCAGCAGGCGCCGGCAGAGAGCCGTGCTGGCACGGAACATTTGTGAGCCCGCCTGCGGTATTCCAACTGGCCGCAGTCGAGGCCAGCAACCAGCAGAGACAGAGGTCTTGATAAGAGTGACCTTGAGAGTCGCATTTCAGCACAAGAGAGTTGAGTCCAGAGTTGAAATTTTGACACGCTACCGGGCTCACACATACCACAGAGTCCACACATGCTGAATTATTGACATCTTAGTTTAAAATACACGCAACATAAAGACGCGTGACCATCTTGTGATTCGGACAAAATATAGTTTTCCTTTTAGACTGACCTCAATGTTAGTTACATCTGCTCAATCGGTTTTACGCACACTGAAAAGACCAAATAAAGGGAAATCAGAACTACGGAACCATTTCAAAACATAGTCTTGTGAACATTTTTTTTCCCCTCAAAATTGCGATTGCGATCTAATAGGCAATTCATTTTTTTCCATGGTCCTCCACCCATGTATTTTTCAACAGACACAGTCAATAAATGTATCTGTATTACAATAAACAATCGCAGAATGTACAGGTTAGGTTGAAAAAACAAAGTGGAATGAACCAGGAATGAATATGAAAGTCTGTTTGTTTTCTTTAGTTGGAGTTAACTTACTCAACTCTTTGACTTGACACTTTGGCAGTATTGTTTCACTGTGCACTACAACTTCACAAATTTTTACTAGACAAGTGAGGCGGAAAGATCGTGGAAGTCACTAAATCAGAGTACAACAATAATGCAAACACATCTGTGGCCTGAACACTTCAACGTTTCATGAAACCGATATGTAAACAAGTGGACTGGGCACACTGCAAATCAATACTTCTGTATTTCTTGTATGTTGTTCAAATCGTTGATATCGACTTGTTTGACAGGCCCTTCATTAGTATCCTCGAATTAAGACAATAAACATCATCTGAGCTGCCTTTGTGTCGCGTGCCTCCCAGTACGTGTTCATATATAATAACCGTAACTGATCATTCCTTCTCCTTGTTAGAAGGAGCCCTCATTGGCACCAATATGTTATCCAAGCGGGTACGGTATATTTTTCTGGTGACGTGTGTTCCCCGGGACGGCTTCTCATAATAGAACAAAGGTGTCTATGTGCCAAATCACAAGGTCAGACAGAGCGAGTCTTCACTTACTATCAGTGTATGTTTGCTGCACGGTGCCAAATCCCCCCTGAGTGGAAACTGGCGCTCGCCTACGGTGTGTGCGTGTGTGTGTGTGTGTGTGTGTGTGTGTGTGTGTGCGAGTGAGCCTTATCAATCAGATTAGTTGCAGTTTGCCACATCACACATCCACACTTCACTAGACTGGAGCTTAGCGTGTGCGTAAAGCTTTTGTTGTACGCTACACTAATTATGCTTGCTCTATTTATTCAGGCACACACAAAAGCTATTTTTAAATGCTCGCCCTCATGTATAAGTAATTATATGTACACAGGAATGTACTGATTGATATCGTCCTTAGTTACAGCGTTAGGTTTTTGTATTTATGTATTAGGGTCACTCTCTCTATTTCTCTCTCTCTCTCTCTCTCTCTCTCTCTCTCTCTCTATATATATATATATATATATATATATATGTATATATATATATATCTCTATCGATGAAAAGTCATAATGAAGTCGTTTCAACAGAAGAATAATAACCATACTAATAAATATGGACATTTTTCCAGAATCCCTTTTATATTTTGAGTGATTACAAAAATCATTTTGGAAGAATAAATTTCAAATTTTTGAGGCAAAAGTGGTATGTTTTTAAGGAAAGTAATGTTGTGAAAAAAATTTTTTTAGAAGTGAACAGCGCCTTAATATTTGGTAGGAAACGAAAAAGTGTGAACATTTTCGCAAAAAAAAAAAAATCAATTTTTTGGTGATTGCTTTAATAGTATGGGGGTTTACAATAAAAGTCATCATATTGTGAGTGAAAACAAATTCAATGAGAATGACTTATTGTGGAAAAAGTGATCGTTGATAATATAAGTGATAAGTGATTTTTTGGAATTTCTCCATTGTGAGACAAATAAAATTGTTCTTATCTTGTCTATATATATATATATATATATATATATATATATATATATATATATATATATATATATATATATATATATATATGGAGAAAAGTTAATTTTAGGAGAAAAATGTCAGGAAAAAATGTTTGGGACTAATAACAGCAAGACAATTTTTATGCAGTCAGGTATCAAATTAAATATTGTGTGGAAAAACTACATTTAGGTGAATAACATAATTTATGAATTTAAAGAGAATAATTTATGATGTAATATTTTAAAAAGGGTTATTTTAACAAAATAAAGTCAAATTATTCAAATAAAAACGTCAAGAAAAGCAATAATACGTTTTTCGCATCTCTAATTGTGAACCCAAATCACTCCCTGTTCCTCGAGAGCCGTATCCTGCCTGTTATTGATCCCTCCCTAGAGCAACACACCTGATTGAAACGATCAGCTCATCAGCAAGTTCTGTCGAAGCCTGAAACGTTCATGATCAATTGAATCAGGTGTGTTGGATGAGGGAATAGCTCGAAAACAGGCAGGGTCGGGCTCTCGAGTAAGAGGAGCTCCCTACCCCTGCTGTAGATTATTGATCTGTATTCATGTTGGTGGACCAGCCTGGACACCTCTCATGTTGTGTTTTGTATTCGAGAAATCACGATGGAATCCATGTGGTTACTGCTCGATTGATGAATAAAGCCCTGCATGCTTTCTCGCCCAGTCTGTACTTAACAACCCACATTCCCAGCATTACCAGCTGCGCAAGAGATTTAAATGCCAATATTCATCCGACATGTTCCATTCGTGGCGGTGCGCTGGAGTCATGTTATAATCTTGAAATCCTGCCAAATCCCTGGAAATCTGCTCCCTGCCGTGCATCTTGCGCATCCACTCTTAAACACATTCTCCGTCGCAGTTCATTGTGTGTTCATCGTTCACATTCAAACACTTGTCGCACAAGTTAGCCGTTCCCCCCAACCTAAAACCGTCCTGCTTTATTCTTTTGCCGAACACCGGTGCCGTTTGAACCCTCCCAGTGTGCACGCTGTCACCAAGCAGGCCTCTACTTATGGTCACCATGGCGCCGCATCACTGTTGCTATGGTTTCCTTATCACCAGGATATGGCTCACAGCAGGCTTGTCTTATTTCGTCTTATAAGTGTGCTGCTGATGTCGCTGATTTAATCCAGGAGTGGTGTCTCCTTTCTTTAAGATGAAGGATAGAAATAGAAACACGCGTTGAGCCCATTCTCAGTATTTGTTCACCGATCCGCTTCTAATCCTCACATTATTTCACACTATTATCAGACAGATTCAACAATGCGCATCAAGCAATGAGCACATTGTGGTTCCGGAGAATACTACACCGTGGCTCCTTCTTCTCCCTCTCTCAGTTGACATTACACACCACTTTAATCCACGTCTGCTGTCTCTGGGTCATCAAGGATTAAAGGAATACTATTGTATTGGATGCCAACATCCATTAGGCATTGATTTATCCATTTTCAACAGCAAATACAGTGAGCAGGATTCACTTCGAAATACATTTTCACTCATTTTCACACCTACGTATGGCTATGGGGGGGAGGGTGGCATGGCTTAGTGGTAGAGTGGTCATTTCCCAACCCGAAGGTTGGTGTTTCAATCCAAGGCCATTGTTGAAGTGTCCTTGAGCAAGATAAGGAACCCCCAGTTGCTCCGGGTGCTGCCGTCACCAGTAGGTAAATGAGGTAACAGTGTGTGAAGCGCTATACAAGTGACAGCCAATTTACCGTTTAATGTATGGGACACACCGAACCGGCTGCCAGCCAATCGCAGGGCACACAGAAGTGAACAACCATTCGCGCTCACACTCACACCTAGGGACAATTTAGAGTGTTCAATCAGCCTGCCATGCATGTTTTTGGAATGTGGGAGGAAACCGGAGGACCTGGAGAAAACCCACGCAGGGCCGGGGAGAACATGCAAACTCCACACAGGAAGGCCAGAGCTGGAATTGAACCCGGTACCTCTGCACTGTGAAGTCGACGTGCTAACCACTCGATACTGGGCCGCCAGGTTAATTACATGTTTGATTTAAAAAAAAAAAATGCAAAAGATAACAGATAAGCAATACTATGCAACACTTCATTTCGGTGAAACTCTATAAATGTTTGCATTATAAAATGGTCACTTTTACAACCTTGCAAGGACATTACGATTTCCCTTCACTGGTGAGCTATTTCTCGAGCTGGCCAGCGGGCACCATGTTTATGACCCCTGCTTTATACTCTATATTTTACGCTACACTTCCAAAGGAAAATGAAAAACTTCCAAGTTTCAGTGAACAAGTGGTACTACTGCCAGGAACAACAGCATTACCCGCAGATGAGGAGATTTGATTTCAATGGTCTCCTGAGGAAGACACAGAAGACGCAACAGAAGACAGCACAGACATATTTGGCCAAAACTATACCGTCATGGACCGTGACTGATGGCAAAAACACACCATAGAGTATGGTTCTTTACCAGGTAAGATGACTTCAATGAACATGATGCACAAAATAAATGCATCAAAACGTTGTTTCAAATTGAAAAGGGGGCACAGTTGAGTTTCTGGACTTGGAAGATTTAGCATGCACACGAAGCGTATTGTTAACATATAAATGAATATAAGTTGACAGATGCAGCCTCTAGTTTTTGTACTTCTTTGCAGCTGATTTAATATCACCGTAGTTATATCCAGACCTCAGAGTTTCACATTTTTAATGATGTCCGAGTGATCGATGAGGACACCGTAAGGCATTTTTTCGGGGTACTGTATTGACCCAGTTGACGTCATGTTTGATCGCCAATAGAAAACATCCCTTTAATGCTCAGTTTTAGGAACGTTTCAACAGTGGCTCCATTCCACGTATTATATTTTGTGAGAAATATCCCACCCTCCCGTTGTGCAACCGTTCTGCCCGCTCATGCAAACAGCTCACTTAAAAAGGCATCACGGAGTATGCGTGAACGTTCGCGTTTATTGGAGGAAGTGGGAGTCTTCGCGCATGCGCGCCAGTGCCATTGAGCGACTACTGGAAAACAAAAGGGAGTGGGGGGCGAGACAGACACACAGGCAAATGTCAATATTCATCCTTAAATGGCGCAATTAGACTTTAAACGACTTCAAGCGTCGTTGCTATTCTTCGAGGGCTGCCAAAAGAGAGGTGACGTCGTTGTTTTTTGTTGAGCGGAGTACAAACCTCAGAGAGAATCCACAGGTCCTTCGCTTTCCCACCCCACACCGTCTTGTCACTGTTTGTTTTTGGGACAATGTCGACCGATTGAGCCTGTCAGGTGAGCGCATTTCAACTAATCATGTCGCCGATAGGAAGAAAATGATAAAGTTAATTCGCTCGAGTTGCTTCGTATTTGGACTCGCGATTCCACAGACATATTAAAGTCCCGGGCTCGTTTCCAATTCACGTCTCAAATGTATTTATTGCTGTGTTTTGTTTTGTTTTTTTAGTTCCTGTAGTCAACTTTTGAGGTCGTGATTGTCAGTCTCGAGGACGCAAGAGAGCTGCGCGCGCAGCCTCCCCGGGGAGAAGCGCTGTCCTCGGTCCTGAAGTCCTCCAGGGGACCCCGAACTGCTGACCTCATTAGGTGTGGAAGTTCTCCCCCTCAAAAAGTCAACATTAAGCAGCATCGACAGAAAGCGCTAAATATGCCAATTCCAGGCAGAGTTAGTCTACAAACTGCTGTCCTTTTGCTTTGTTTGGGTAAGTATAAAACTACAGTTGTTATTATGATTGATTAGTTGAGTATTGGTGTAGATTGTTAGCTAAACAACTTTTGACCATTAGGTTACCTTTCTTGTGAAATGGAAACAAACTTTGGATCGTTAGGCAACACGTTTCTTGCTAGCTTGCAAAATAATGTCGCTACACAATGTACGTGATGACGTCATCCGTCCCGGCAGGAATTGATAAGGGAGTCCTTCACAAAAACGAGAAACGATGCCAAGGAATTGAAAGTCTGAGGAGTGGTTCTCAACAATAACTGGTTTGCAATTCCCATCCCTAGTCAAAAAGACGATGTTAAGTGAAGTATTGTTTTGAAGCTGAATCAGCTTCACCAGTCTAGCTGTCATTTTTATTTCGTATTGGGTTATTTAAATTAATTAGCTTCCTGAGAGTTTTTTTTTAGTTTTGATTAGTTTTAGTTTAGTTTTAGTTTTCTCAAAAAAATGCTTCATTTTTTTTTTTGTGGTTTTAGTTTTTTAATTTTGTCTATTTCTTTTGTGTGCGAGATGAAAAAAAACACATCAACAAATATTTGAAAAACATTTTAAGAACAATGATTCACAAATCAAATACAGGTACTTTATAACAGTCACAAAGCGCAAGAAGCCACACTCAATCTCCACAACTATTGTTTTTCATTTGCTTGCTTCTCGAACTTTAATACTTAGCTCTCCTAGTACCACCATTACGAAAATTAAAATACAGTAGCGGACTTAAATGTGGACCATTTTAAAACGTAACTGAAATAATGAAATTAAAATCTTGTGTTATTTGACTCATGGTCATTTCCGCCCTATCTGTATCACTTTGAATTCTCAATCATGTGACCATTAGCAACCATCAGACAAAAAAGCTCGCCTGCATTTAATGCATCATGAACCACTCAAGTTCTCAATAGGGCTCAGATCTTTGGCGCAAGCTCATCGATGTGCACCTCCAGCGCTTTTACGGAACTTATCCTTAACCCTTTCAGGGACAGCGGTTACTACAGTGGACAGCTTATCATGTTATCAGGTGCATGAAAGGGATAAGATGCAAATTATCAAGATATATATCAAAAAACTAACTAAAAGAAATACCTACATTATCTTAGACTTACCCCCATATTTGGAAATATGCAACGTAAATTTTCTGTCACTTAACCTCAATGAAAATATAACAAAGGACTAAAAAAAACCTTTGTATGGTTGAGAGATTGTGAGACCAAGCTTCAAACAAATCCCGTTCAAATGCTCTGTTTAATTTACCCCTTTATGTGCTGCTCTTCACTCATTTCCTACGCTGCATGAGAAATAATGGAATCAATGTTGTCACAGTCTGCCTTTGGGGGAAGCTTTGCGTTATATAAGAGAACTGGACCCAGTCACAGGATGGACTGCCACATCTGTCTTTGTCTTTATAATCCCTTCTCTTCTTCACAATACATCATTTTCCATTGATTCTGTCTTCTATAATTTGACTGTCCTGTCATTTTTTTTTCTTCTTCTTCTATTCCTTCAACTCGATTGTCCTCCCCCTTGAATCATATACGAATGGGCAGAGGCCATCCTTAGTGCTTACTGGCTTGGATGAGCTTGGATTTGTGATCAAGTACTGAGAGTCAAGCCCTTTCCCAATGCTCACAGAGCTGTAAAATTGAGTGGACGTCACTTTAATGCTTCCTGAGCTTTGCCATTTGCTCCAAATTGGATTCAGTGTAGACTGACGGGCTGTAATAATCGATCCTAGTGTAGGCTAGACTGGACCTTAATGTGATATTATTTTATGAATAAATCATAAAAAATAAAAAAAAACATTGTGTAATTGTTCATTTCAACAGTGAACCATGAACGTTTTATTTGCTTTCTAAGGGATACATGTTTCCCCAGTTCAAGAGTAAATCATGAGAAATGCATTGTTTCATTTTACAGGATTTTATTGGTAAATCACAAAATCATTATAGGTTGACTTATTGGAATTGCCCATATGTGTGAACGGTTGCTTGTAGGGTTGCTCTGATCTGATCACACGATTGGCCCAGTTTTCTGATTTTTATTTGATCAATCATTTTTCAGGTGATCGGGGTTCGGTGAAAAAAAAATATTTTTTTTGTTAATGTTATTTTCCTCATGGAATGACAAGATTTTAAAGGCTATTTCACTGTAATTTGTTTGCAGCCTTATTTTGTGCTGCACCAGTGATATGCTCTAAAAAGATTTTGTTGATCTGTTTGCACCACTGCTGCACTACATTTATAGCTACACCCCCCCCCCAAAAAAAAACCAAAGGTGTCAAATTAGGCTACTTTTATTCAAGTAGAAGACAATTTGGATGTCCTCTGTTTTTTCCCCTTACTGCATTACCGAGGTCATGTATTGGAAGCTCAAGTGACTCAAGTAAACCAAGCAACTCTGGGGCAAATAATTATCGTCATTTTAAATTTTTTGTTTGTCTGCTTTTCTCAAATCAAGCGACAGCTCAGCCCCTCCCTCGCTACTTTTTTTCCAATGTTATTATTATTTTTTTTTTTTACACGACTATTGATTTGTCGTTGATTTCCTTCCGTGTGCTGCACTGTTAGCAGGTAAGCTAATCACGTACTCTTTTCATATTCCAGCGCATCTGAGTCAGCCAGTATGTGTGGACGTCCCCTCGGGGACGGAGGCGGTTCTGGGAAAGATGATGAAGTTGACGTGTATCTCATGTATGAAGCGTGAGGAGGTGAAAGTCAAAACCCATGTGGACTGGTACTACATGACCAAGGTGGAACAAGGCGTCGCACCAGATAAAACCCTCGTAAGCTGCTTCCCTAGCATTTTTTTTTTTTTTTTTTGCAAAAACGATGGTAGATGGTAACTAGAGCATCGCTCTTCTTTCGCTCTCCTAGATATACAAGTATGAGGGGAACTTTCCGATGGAGATGGATGGACCATTCAAGGGCCGCCTGATGTGGGACGGCAGCCAGGACCTTCAAGATCTCTCCATCAGCATCGTGAACGTCACCTACAACGACAGCGGCGTCTACGAGTGCCACGTGCTTCGCGAGTTTGAGTTTGACGCCTTCACTCCGTCGGCCTTTGTCTTGAAGAACATCACGCTAAAAGTGAAAGAGGAAGGTGGGTTTCGTTGCGCAACACTTTCCCCCCGAGCATGCGATGGCACGGGATCAGATTAGTGAGTTGAATTTAAAATTAGAATTCAGATTTTAGGGATTGTGTTATCTGTCTGTGATGTGGCAAATCAGTGTCAGCAGCCCCAAGAGATGTACGACTCAAATCTCGTTCTCGGTTATTTGGGATGTAGCTGATGAAGTCATAGTCAAGCCAGCTGCACACTCTGCGAAATTGTCCGTAGGTGTGAATGTGAGTGTGAATGGTTTTCTATCTAAATGTGCCTTGCAGTTGGCTAGCGTCCAGGCCAGGATGTACCAAGCCTCTCGCCCAAAGTCTGCTGGGACGCGCTCTAATGAGGATGAGCTCTACAGAAAACAGATGGATACAACTGTTTTGAACCTCAGAAATTCCTAATTAGGAATTTCCCTACTTCACAGCAAATTCAGAATATGACAGCACACAGGTCTTTAACGTATTTTTTTCTACACTGGGGTGGATGAATTATTCTCACATGACAAAAAAAAGGCAAAAATAGAAAAGAAAGTACAGCTCATTAGCTCTCGCCTTTGTGCTTCTCCCACTTGGTTGTGGTAAAAATTTAAATGTATGTACATCTTAGTTAGCTAAATCTCTCCTTAGCTCATTCAGTACCAGCCAATTCTAGACCAAGTCTGAAAAGACGTTTAAAAACATCTTTGGGAGTGAATGAATTTTAATATGGAACCTATTTTTGTATCACTTGCTCTTTATCATGACTTTTTTTTTTTTAATACCACCAAATCCAATCATCCGAAAAGCCAAACCAATCATGTGATCTTCACAAATCTGGATTTTGCGGGCAGTGCACATCCCTTGCATTATACTTCTCCATCTCACAATATTTCAACTTGATTGGCAAGGAGCATTCGTGTGAAGGTCCGGCACGCGTTATCGCTCCTTTCCTCCTCCTCGTCCTCTCGTGGTGACGTTGACAACTGAAGAATTAATTGTGTGCTTTGTTTTGTCCTGTCTGCCCTGTGTCTGCTCTCTTTTCACAAGGGGTAATGTATTCTTGCTTCCTGCATCTTGGACTTGCATCTGAATGCTTTCATGAGTCCATACATTAACGATACATGCGCTCGCTATAACATAAGATACACCTGCACAACCAAATAAGATCCACCGTCAAGATTACAGTCACGACATATTTTCAAGGTTGCCTTCCTAACAACGAACCGAACATTCTTAATCGTGCGTTATTTTTGTTGAAAGCAGACTTGAACTGACGGCACTTGTCTTGGATCTCATTTGCTTGTACACAAGTACCTAATAATGTGTCTGAATATTTTGACCTGTTTTCCTTCATGACACCCGCCTCCATTGCTTACGTTTCGTATGTACTGTGAGTAATTAGTTGTTGCGTAACAGTCGAGGCAAATGTGTTTGTTGTGCCCACACGGAATAGGCATCCTTTTTCTGTTTTGCCCGGAAGATGCTTTTTTTTCTCCTTCATGTCCCACTTTGGCGCTATCAAATGTCACAAAGAATCTCCCTGATGTTCTCCACAGGACAGTGTGGTATTATGTTCCAGTAATTATGTTCATTGTTGTCAAATGGATTACATAGCCCACTGAAAACCTGAGTGCGTGTGTGTGTGTGTGTGTGTGCGTGTGCGTGTGCGTGTGCGTGTGTGTGTGTGTGTGTGTGTGTGTGTTTGTGTGAGTGTGTACATATGCTTGTAAGGGATTATATTACAATAATAGGTTCTATTTGCCGAGGCTGCAGATTCACATCGCTTTCTGGAATTGGGCACCTTGTGTACACTTGCAGCCTTATTTACTGCAGCGAGTTTAAATAGGAATAAGAAGATGATCGAATGCGACAAATCCATGACGATAATCGACCATTGTGGGCCCTGCAAAGCTTTAACGGAGATCATTCAAATCTCCACAAGTGACCTTTAACCTCACAGGCTGTACTTTTTATTTTTTTTCGATAGCACAATTGGTACAAGACATGTTTAAAAAAAAATCTGCTTTTTAAAAGTAATAATTTTAGTTAACTGATTTCATATACAGTATAGCAAGGTAAAAAAAAATCTATGTCAAGGCAGCATTTTTCGAACATCTCTTTTATTGATTCCTATGACATCGTGGAGGTCAATCTAATAAATTAGCCAGTAAATGGAGTCCATATATGTGTGTTATTGAAAAAAAAGCCAATCAAAAGCATGATGTCATGCTGCGATGCATCTCATCAGCATTTGGATTCATCCTGTTGAGAGCAATATGGCCTTCTTTATAATGCCTGATTGGTTTTTGTTGGTTGTGCACATCCTCTTTCAATCTGTGAATAAAAAGTATTGCTTTATTCACTGCACAAAAAAAAAGGTCTTGAATAAAACATGTTTCTTGCTGCTGTTTGTGCTTTTGCAGCCAGCCCAGACACCACAGCCCTCTACTCAGAGATCATGATGTACTTGCTGCTGGTCTTTTTGACCTTCTGGCTGTTGATCGAGATGGTTTACTGCTACCGCAAGATCTCCAAGTCTGACGACCTGGTGCAGGACACAGGGTGAGTGTCACTGGGACAAATGGCAAGCAGTGAGTGGGAGGGAGCCGTAGATGAGGGCTGAATTTAAATGACAGCCATCAACTTTGGTCGTAGAAAAAGTTTCGGGAGAGAACGCAACGTTGTAAAAGCAAAACTTACGACACAGTGTGATAATGCTGTAGTTTTAATGTCAGGCCAAGATTTGGCAACGACACTTTGTCCACCTATCCATCCATTTTGTAATCCGCTTATCCTCATGTGGAAATCTAAACAAGTCCCTAAAACTGTAAACAGCCACACACAAAGCAATGTAGGCATGTCTTTGGATTTTTTTAGGATTTATTGAGGAAATTCTTGAATATTCCTTGGTTTCATGGCACAGTGCCCGATTGTTTAGTACATCCACCTCCCAGCTCTGAATCTGCGGGTCAGTTTTAGGCTTTGGCCTTCCAAAATGGAATTTATATGTCTTCCCATCAAGCTTAAAAAAAAGGCACTTGCTTCGTTAAACTTCTAAATAATCCAGAGGTGTGAATGTTCGCATGGGTGGTTATTTGTCCGTTTGTGTTTTTTAATTATCTGGTGACCTGTCCCCATCTCTCGCCCAAAGCCAGCTGCAGTAGGCGGCTCCATCTTATCCGCAACTTAATGAGGACAGGTATATAAAATGGATAGATAGATGTAAGACAGGACTCATTTTCAGCCCTGGAGTTTTATGGCTTAGACCGGCCCACAACATTTTAATCAACATTTACAATTTGTATCCCGACTAGTGTGTCAATCTAAAGTAGCTTACCAATTCCTCCATCGATATTCATATTGTGTTTAATGAAAAAGCAAAATTACAATTGAATGAGCTTCCAAGTGTCACGGTTGATTTGTTTGGGACCAACAGGTGTGGCTTTGTAGGGCTCCTCCTACAGCGGCGCACCTGTTGGTCATCATGTCATTAGGAGGTTTTCTGTCAAAAGGACTCCCGGCCCGACCACTTGGGGTCTGGTCATCGTTGCTGTCCCTATTGCTGTCAGTTTCTGTTGCTCACTCTGTTAGTGTTTTGCTTCTGCCATGGGTTTTTGTTTGTTACTTAGGATTCTTGTTGTTTCCAGGACTTTGTTCTGGATTTTGTTTTCTCAGTATTTTCTTCATACAGTTTGTCAAGTTCACCCTGCGCCTCCCTCTTGGCTGATTTTTGGGGTCCTCCACCACCCCCGCATCGGGACAGACACAAAGGGTTGAGGGAGCTGATTAGTTAAACGCAAGGGACACTGATGACGAGAACAGGTGGCGACAAAAAGGACCAAACGCAATCAAAGAGAAACATAACATCAAGATCACAATCGGTGTTAGTTTGAACAAATATGAGAACATGAATAGTTGAATTGGAAGACAGAAGATAAAAAGGGACCAATAGGCAAGTGCACATAACATGGATAAGACACTTGACAAGATAAGATTTATCAAATGCTCTTAAGCCAGCAACATTGCGGCAACTAGCGCTCTTATTTCTCCCTTTTTTTTTCTTTGGAAACGCCGTCTTAACAATGCGGCTCCGTCAGAGACCAAGTGTTGTCAGCGCCGACAAAGACCCAAAGGCAGCTGTGTAGTCAGTTCCCGCTGGATGGCCATTGTGTTGACGGGGCCCGTCGATCCAGACTGACGGCATTTAAATAGGCAATTGCAATTGATGTGTGCAACGGAACAATGGTGCCACACCGATGGGAGCCTCTCTGTGTTTTTGTTGACGATTCAGGCTTTTTTTTTCCGGATGTGTGTGCGTGTGTGTGCAATTGATTGCACGGTGCATTTCCTGTATTTAAAAAGTGACGATTCAAAGGATGAAGTGCACACCATTGAAAAAGTTTCTCTTGACAACATTTTTGAACAAGGAAAACATCAATTTTCTTGCTTGTATGAGTAAAAACAAACGGTCTGCTTGCCAAACGACCTCCCTACTTACTTTTAATTAACACACGCGCCTACGTGCAGACTTTGCCTTCACCTACCGGCTTTCAGACGGCTGTCAGAAAAGTTACAGGACTGGCGTCACAAACACATCTCCCTATATCGGGATCATGGCCTTGCCACATTTGTTGGTGCAATGAAGCCATAATTGGCTTATTGACCAATGCTCGGTGATGCACAAATGACTTACTGTTCCGCACAAAGTCTCCGAAAGTTTACGACAGGTTAACTTCACCTGTTGCTGCAGTTGAGACAGTTAATGGGCTGTAGCCTGTGTCATGACTGAAATTCCCAATATGGCCAAAGGACTTCTCGGTTACTCAGTCCTATAAAATAGACACCAATACCAATTTAATGTACCATATTCAATCACCTTACAAGTGACGAGCTGTAATCTCTCCTTTGCAAGATCTCTATGCACCAGGGATCTTACATTGGAGGGATACAGACTCGGTACGCTGGTCTCGCTGTCAATTCCGACACTCGGAACGGGTATCTGGTGTCCGCTGCCAATCTCTTTAAGTTCCCGGCCAGAGACTAAATGATTATCCGTTCGGGCCCGATCGCATTAACGGGTCGACGAACAAATTACAAAATGCGACTACGCAATCATCATCTCTTGCGTAAGTGCAGAGAAAATGACCTTTCCATCAAGAATAGCCTCCATTTTCTCATCATCCCCAAAGCAGGAATTTCATTTTCCTTTTAAACCGCAGTAAAAAGTGCTGATTGGACCATTATCATCAAGATGTAAAATTACTTCTCACCAATGCAAAACAAGATTCAAAAGTGTGCATCATTAGAGAAATGCATGGGTTGTCTTTTTATGGATGCCATTTCCGAAATGAAATGCAGTGACTGTGGCAATTGCCCGTGACGCTAAACCATACCACAGGGCAAGAATGTCTCCTTGCATGCTTACAGTGGACCCACGGTGAGAATGGGGGCGGAAGAGGAATCTCAGATGCTCTCGTTTCTCCGATCAATGTGACTGCAGTACAACCCGCTTTGCTTTGAGCACAAAGACAATCTGGTTTCAGTTCCCGCTTCGGAGTGAAAGCGGTCGTCAGTGGTGTCAGCAATGAAGTCATGCACTTGCAAATCATTGTTTTGTCGCTTTTTAGCTGTCGTGTCTGTAGACTGTGTCTTTGAAAATGGCTTCCGATCACGAGTCTCTTTCTTGCATTTAGCCTCCCTGTCATACAGTCTATACTGCATGCTCAATGTAATGTAATGCGATGCAGTGCGAGACTCGGCGTTATAAAGATAATAATGTAGAATTTTTTTTTTTTAACTTTTAGAGAAATTTTGTTCAAATGCCAGGTTTTTGTGATATTAAAAAAATGAGATCAAACGAAACAAATTTGAAACCACCACCCTGTACAAGCCAACTGAAAAAAGTACTCCTACAGCCCCCTCGAACAGATGAACTTTTTTCGGGGTTAATCAGAGACACAGATGTGTGCTGACTCCCATTTAACATGAGTTTGAATGTGACTGGCTCATTCTGAACGCAACCACATCCCAAGTTATAAAAGGGGATGTATACTTATGCAACCACACAACCTCAATTGTTTGTTTTTAACTTCCCTTCTCAAAGAATTATTTGTTTCAAATTGCCGGGATTTGTAGACAGTATTATATCCATTGCATATTAATAAGCTGTTTATTGTGGTTGTATGTGAAGCACAGCGCGACTTGTGGCGTTAGCGCGTCTGCTTCACGGGTACTCCAGCTTCCCCTCCCACATCCCCCAAACGTGCATGTTGGCTTCATTGAAGAGTCTAACTTGCCCTTAGGTGTGAATATCATTGGTTAGCCACAATAATAAACAAGGCAGACTGCACATCCATTGTATTAAATAAAAGAAGGCCAATATAGGCCACGGGGGAATTGACGGACAAAAAAAAGAGAGAAAGGTTTTTTCCGATTTTCATGTCATTTGAACGTCAAATGTCAAAATGATACATATTCCTTGACGATGGTTATAAGTACCGCATTTTTACAAAGCTGCAGCTCTGAGTTGTTTATTGAGGGGAGGAATGTGTTTTGCTTTGCCAGGTATTGAAGGACCATGAAGGGACAATAAAGATCAGCGCTCCCAGAGTCCTGCCAACCGAATTCCTCCCCCGTGCCCCCCGGCCCCGATGCCGTTTTCCTGTGAAGAGCCACAAATGTCAGTTTCTTACCTTTCTGTGCTAAACTCAAGTGCCCTCAGTAGTAACATGAGTTCAAGATCAAATGTCTAATGTCACATACAAAGCGGCTGCACTCCATGTGAACCTGGCCTCTTACTCATGCCATGTTGTGCCTCTGTGATGTGGACCCTTTACAAATAGATACAATCGAGTCCACACGCGATCCTACTGCTGTCGCAGCTTTTTTTTTTGTTTTGTTTTGTTTTTTTGGGCTGTAGACATACAGAGAGCCGGATTTTATTAGTATTGGCTAATACAGTGATTCTTAACCCTGTACCGAACCCAACCAGTTCATATGCACGTTCACCGTACCCTTCATTAGCGAAAAATAAAAATTGGATTTTTTACAAATTCAAGACATTAAAAAAACACAAATTTTTTCAAAAGAGAAAAAAGTTAATAAAATTACATGGTCTGAGTATAGTTTTTTTATTTTATAATTGTATGACGTATTATCACGACGGTCATACGGTGACCACTGAGCGAACTAAATTTCCCGTAGCACTGATTGGACAAGCAATGTAATGTGCTCATCTGCAGCCAGTGGTGGTCAAGTGGGCGTGTCATAACTAATTGAGTGAGTCGGGTGTGTCTTAACCTCCATGGCAGAGGCTCCGTCGAACCCCTGAGACCGATTCACCGAACCCCTGCGGTTCGATCGAACCCAGGTTAAGAACCACTGGGCTAATACCTTTGTAAGAAGAATGACACTACAGTTTTATTGTAATAACGTGCATTGCTGCTATTTCTAAGAAATATCTGACTATTATCTTTTTCTTGCTGCAGTTCTGTTGCTATTCTCTGCCTGTATTCATCTTTAATCCGTACACAGCAATGAGGTCTTGCTGGTGTTCTTCATTCGGGAAAGGTTTCATCTCTACTTTGTGATGCTTATACATCTTTTGCACTTCAAGTCACGTAACACTGCTCTTGTTCTGCCAATGTTTACGTAAATGCCACTGAATCACACACACAACAGTGTTCCTCTGAAATTAGCACCATTAGCAAAACTAAGTTAGCATTAGCAATGTACAAAAGCCGATGTTAGCCATGGTTGCTACGTTTGACGCGTGGCTTATCCATAATGGAGTGTTACTATGACACAAAATGTTATCTTTTGATGTTTGGCTGTTTTTGGGATCTACGATCAATTGACAATCAAAAAGAGGTGATAAACATACCTGTCAAGCAGTTGCTAATTTTGCATCTGTTCTGAATCCACTCAGCTGCCTGCCGGCATCTAATATGTTCACCCTTGTTTAGTTCTGGAAATTGTTCAATTCTTTCTTTCCATGCTTGAATTGTCTACTTGTATGGTTGGACTATTTTATTTTTGAGAGGAGAATATTAAACATATTTAACATAATTCATAAAAAGCGTGTATTTTGTCTGAAACTGCAATCGCCTACTTTGACAATATTAACCGCTGGCAGTAGTCAAATGTTACAAACAACGAATAGTAGAATCGCCCTCAACTTTGATGACAAGTGACATCTGTTAGCACACACTCACAACAAGAAGATTACTGCTTTTGCCTGGAAGGAAAAGCAAAACGCGATTTGAATTAGGAGGCGTGTTTTTCTCTTCAAGCATTGTATTTTCAGACATTCCACTGCTCAGTGTTTACGTCGAAAGGAGGTGTACTGTGTAAAATCTGAAACACAATGCTTCATTGTCGCTTTTGCCTTCTACTTTCTCCCTCTCTTAATTTTGCTGCTGTAAATTGGGAATTTCTCCATTGTGAGACAAATAAAGATTTTCTTATCTTATCTTCATACCCTAGCTGTTTTCGTACTTTTCAAGTATGCTGGCATTTGAGCAACGATTCCACAAGCCTGCGCAATAACCTCCACCAAAGCTCTCGAGTTGAGGTCAAGCTGAGCAAGTCTGACTTTTTGGATTGATCAAACTGACCAATGCAGGCGATAGCTTGCGGGATAGTGAAGTGAAAAGAAAGTATAAAGAGGATCAACTGCAGGAAAGACATGATGATATGATGCAGGTTGCTCTTTTATAAAGTCTCGTGACACAGAGCAGTGACACAAACAGCAACAGCGGTTGTCATGGCGACCCGGCGATTCCTTTATCAAGGTAGAATCGCCTGGTTAAAATTTCCTGCAAAGCTCCCAAGGTCGGATATGATATTGTCAGAGTTGTCAACAGGTAACGTCACACGTGTGAACATTAGCCATCCATCAGGTTCATATAAATTGGTTATTGATTGTGCAACGCATCCCATGAAGTGGCCGTTCAGAGTCCTTGTCTGTCCTTTTCTCCCAACATGCTGCTTCCCTCTCGCGTTACCGTTTATCTCCCCGAGGATACAGCCCAGTAATGTGGCCCACATACGTACCAAAATACATTTCAATTAAAGCAGACGGCCTCCTGCTGCTGGCAAACATTTGGAAGTCACATCACATCAGCCACTCAGAGAAGCCTTGACTACAAACGGCTTCATTTGGAACCTTTTTCCTCCCCTCACGGAGCAGATGTGTAATCGCGCAACATGCGCCTAAATCAATATCACACAGATAAAAAAGCTAAAATAGCAGCCATGAAGATAACCTAGAGCGGTTTTAGTTTTTTTTTTTTAATTTTTTTTTATGTCACACATGATGTCCATCCACGAAGGGTCTTTGTCTCCCTCTAGTGCAAAGTGACATCAAAGATATCATCAAAGAGTTGTTATTTTTCCTCAGTTGTTTTTCTCCCGCTGATTGCACCGTCATTTCACGCGTTTGCTGCCATTGATTTATTGAGTCCCGACTCTTTGGGAGCCACACTGATAAGAAAAATTCGGCGCAGGATGCCGGAGCCGAGATGATGTGGAATGCTGTATGCAGCCAGACACGCCTTAGTGATTGCGGATCAATAGTCACTTTCCTGGTGCCGGGGTCTATCTTTCGTAGCATCTAAGTGCTATGATAGGCGTATGGATAAAATACAAAGTGTGTGATTATGATGCCTTGGTTTGCTGCTTCTCAGTGGGGTGTAACTCCTTAAACACTGTCAACACGGTCTGACCAAATTTAGTCTGAAAACCTTTTTTTTTTTTTTTTTTTTTGCTCGGAGACTCAATAAAATGTAAAGTCAATTCTATTTGTTACCCCTTACATATCGTAAATTTTCAATGCACACATTTTCTTTACTTATTTATTTGTGTGTGTGTGTGTGTGTGTGTGTGTGTGTGTATGATCATTCAAATGCTGTTTAAAAGTCACACCTCACACCAAGCGTTGTTGCCGAATGCGACTGAAGTGAACCACTGTGGAAAAAAGAAATTACATTTAGCGACTATACACTCTGCTGCACACCAAGCAACTGAGCACCACGCATGTATCAATGCTCTACGATGGGAAAAATTGCGACCATGTATCAGACAACAGACAATATTCTGTGTTGATGTATTTAAAAATGATATATATTTTTTGATTGAACCATAAAAACATGTAGAAGAGAGTATAGATATTTTAAAAGGCTACTGGCACAGATCGATCCACCATTCGCCGACTGGATTGCGGTGACAAAGACTCTTAAGCGCGTTGCTTTCTAGTCACAGATATATACATCGAATAACGAAAATCTGCGTGTAATTGATGCCCATTACACATGCGTTGGGTACATTTTTATTTATTAATTTATTTAACCCCCCATTCTTAAAAAACTTAATGAAATAAACCGTCGTTACGCATTTTACACGAAAACGGAGGTTGGCTACCCTCCAATTTATTTATTTATTTATTTGTTAATACTGAAAAAAAATCCACAGGTTGGATGGATTCTTCTGTTTTTTGCGACTTGGCCACTGGGGGGAGTATAAGACAGTTCCGAAGACACAAAATGAAGAAAAGTTTCTCAATTTCTTTCAATGACCCCGTGAACTGCGGTAATATTAGTCATTTTCCGCAGAGGATGAAGAATCTGTGAGAGTAATTATGCGTGACCGATAATATTCGTAAACCGGTCTGTGGTGTTTTGCATTGTGCATTAGCATTAAGCTAGCGGAAGGCAAAGTCGTGTGTTCATTTTAACTACACAACAAGTAATTCTCTTTGTTTAGCTTGACAGGAGACTGTAACTGGGGGTGGCATGAAACAGCTTCAAAACTCTTTATTGCTTTTAAATTTTAGACTATCTGCCAAACTGCTGCTTGTCATGAAATGAGACGCCACCATATTGCGCTCGTATCAAGTCAAAGCAAATAAAACTCCTCAAATGTGTGTATGTGTCTTGTGTTGGTACAGATTGGTGCATGTTTCGGCAGGAACCCGTGCAAATGTGGTGGGAACACATTCAATTCTTAGAACCGTTTCAAGCTCCCTATTTAACCTCATGCAATTGAAAGCTTATCTCTGCCCAATGCACTAAATTTAAGAAGAATCAGCTGACTGCAACTCATCAACCAATCGAAGATTTAGATTCAAACTCAAAGAGGCAAAAAGAGATGAAGTCATTGCTACTTTCGGAAGACTGTTACTGTGTCTCGCTGGTGTGTTTGCGCTCCCTACAATGCTCCCTAATGATCTTATTTGCCTCTCTCCCTCGTCAAAGGGATTTTTTTTCTCTGACTCTCTGCCGCAAATGTCAGTTTTTAATTCAAATTGAAATGGGTGCAGGACATCAAAGTGCAGTGTCAGTCAACGTAATGATGCAGTGGTGTGCACACTGTGGCAGGGGCATCATTAAGGATTTCCTCTCACATACACAACGGTTTGCTGTTTGTAGCACTCTTGTGCACACTATTCAAACTCTGTGATGCACACTTCTGAAATGCTCCCACTGATTAAAAAAAAAAAAAAAACGTTGCTCATATGGTGTACACACTACTGATTTTTTTTCTCCTAAAAGCACTCCTGAAATGTTTTCCCACACATTGTCTCTCACACACACTACTGAAACAGTCTCGGTCGGAGACACAACAGATTTTCTTTCTCCTAAAAGCACGACTGAAATATTTTCTTACACATTGTCTCACACGCACTACTGAAACAGTCTCAGAGACACTACTGATTTTGTTTCACCTAAAAGCACTACTGAAATGTTTTCTCACACATTGTCTCACACACTACTGAAACAGCCTCGGAGACACGACAGATTTTTTTTCTCCTAAAAGCACGACTGAAATATTTTCTCACACATTATCTCACACACACTACTGAAACACGCTCAGACACGACTCATTTTTTGTCACTTCCGCACATAACTGAAATGCTCACGCTAAAAGTTTTTTTCATTGACGCGCAGTTGAAACGCTCACGTGCACTACTAAAATGCTCTCACATTCAGCATTGTTTTTGCTCACACAAGTGAATTGCTCTCACATGCAACTGATGTCCCCCAAACACACATTGCTCTCTCGTAAACTACGAAAGTGGTTGTGCATGGTTGTCATATTTTGATGAAGGATAAATTGCTCATCCGCATTCATTTCATTTAACATCAAAAGTCCACTTAACGACCATATTCGAATTAACCCGTTAAACGGAGCATGAATTCCAATATCTCAAATGCCTTGAAAAAAAAAGCGGCATCTTCTTTCTTGCCAACCAAACGGAAAGGTGCATGTT